ATTTATTTAAATCGAAGTGGTGTGACACACAGTCAAGTATAAGAAGTATTGGGGATACCAAGAAGTACCATTTACTCCATTATAAAAAAATGTGAAGGTGATATGATTGGCAGACGACGAGGTTCAGGAAGATGTCGTGCATCAGCACTTGAAAAAGATGCAATCTTTGCGAACTTGGTGGGAAAACAGAGCCTTTACCACAGCTGTTGAAGCTGTAAGGGTTATACACATTCCTGCCAGTGTTAGAACGGTGCAACGTCGTCTAAAGCAAAATGGATTGCGGAATCATGTCGCTGCCAAAAAAATGCTTCTTACGCTTCGACATCGGGAAGTAAAGATAGGATTTGTATTGAAACATTTAACTCCAGACGAAGTTTTTTGCAGCAGAGTTGGCTTTTCAGATGAAAAAGTTTTTCAGTCGTCTCGCGACGGTTGCATAAAAGTGTATAGGCCTCGAAATAGCCGCTATAACTCGCGAGACATTGCTACTAATGAGCAAAATATACGTTTTTGGGTAAATGTTTGGGCATGGATTTCTGTACGCAGTACCGCTGTCATGCTCCATTGCGAATAACGATTAAATAGCGATGTGTACATCCAGATTGTCGAAAATGTCATGCTACCATCGGTTAGAAGGATCTCCCCAAATGATCAATATATATTCCAATAGGACAACTACCCAGTTCATACTGCTCGTAGAGTATCAGCGTGGTTCGAAAATCATAATGTAAAGTTGAAGCCCAAACCTCAATCCTATCCAGAACATGTGGAGTCTGTTGGTAAAAAAACTGCGGCGCCTATGTTTAGGTTTTAATAGTAAGGATGATCTCTTGGCGGTCATTACGTACGCGTGGCATACATTACCTGAAAATTACAAGAAAAATCTGTGCTTTTCGATGTCCAGACGTTTGGCTAAGGTTGCAGAAGCTAATGGGGACATGACAAAGCATTACTTCTCTTATTGTTATTTCTGGATTCTGGATTCTTAATTTATGGGGGCTGACCGTAGCCAGCCGGCACTTAGGCCTCGCCTTTGGGCCCATTGTACCTTCCCCAAGTCCATATCAGGGTGTTTTCCCGCTCCTCTACTCGTCAAGCCACCCAACTGCTTGAATGTACTTGAGTAATGCAGAGGGTGGAAACTCCCTGATATTTGCCATACTAGGCCAGATGTCCCCTAGTATGGATTCCCTGTAGGAGGCTAGGGCTGGACACTCACGAAGAATGTGCTCAGCTGTTTCCTCTTCTTCATTGCATCCACGACAGATTGGGTCTGTTCTTATTGTTATTTATTTATGTAATTTACTTAATAAATTGTTATAATATTGTGTCATAATATCAAATTACTTATTTACAGTTTTTTGATTTGCCATGTTACGTTGATTGATTTTATTTTCAGCCTCACAAGCGAATGTACGCGGAACTGTAAACTGACCTTAAATTTTAAAGGCGAATCCGTTTTTTCTGGTTTGAAAAAATTGGTCGAAAGTTGTTTCAACAGAACTTCCCTCGCTCCTAAAATACAATGAAAAATATCCAGCATTTTTGAGTTGAGTTTTTTCTTTACCACAATTTTGTGATGACCTCATCAACATATTTGCAAAGACACGTATATCAACTTGGATTGGTGCATTGTCATACTATTAATAACAGTATTGTATTCCCAAAATTTTCTGAAAAAATGGAGTGAGCCGTTCCTGCTTTAATCAATAAAATAAACTGACTCATTCATTATTTCTTTTGGGCCACCTGTTTAAGCAAATCTAAAAAATATGAATGCAATGATAAATCACAAGTAAAAACTTATCATATATTTTGGGTGGAATTTATTTGCCAAAATTTTAAGATGACGTCATCAATTTTTTGGTTGGAATAAACAGATATATTTTGATTAACAATTTACCATGCTTACAATAACTAAAAAACGTCTGCAAGATTTCAAAGTATTATGTTTTCAATTCTTGATTTAATAAATAAAATATATAGTTATTAATTAATTTTTTTGAGTCATCCTGTTTAAGCAAATCTAAAAAAATGAATGGAATGATAAATTACATGTATAAACTGATCATATTTTGCACACTTTAGATTTAATCGCCAAAATTTTGAGGGGGGATAAGCAAATACATTTTTATCAAAAATTTACCATGCTTATGATAACTTTAAAACAACTCGAAGCATTCGGTTTCGTAGTTCCTAATTAAATCAATAAAATAACTTCACGCAGTCATTAATCTTTTGAGTCACCCTGCATAAGCAAATCCAAAAAATATGAATGGAATGATAATTCACAAGTACAGACTCAGCATATTTTGTACATTTTAGATAGGATTTATTCGGCAAAATTGTGAGATTACTTTATCAATTTTTGGGAGGGGATAAACGAATAACTTTTGCTTAATGGTTTACCATGATTACGTAAACCTTAAAATATTTATAAGATTTCGGAGAAATCGGTTTTGTACTTTCAAGTTTAAATTGCAAAATATTGTTATTCAGTTTAGAATTTTTTCCAAAAATTATGGATGTCTAGGGTGAAAATTTGACACGGATTCACACACCACAAGTGCAGAAGTATTTTTTTTTTATGAAATTAAAAAAAAAATATTATAAATTTTGGAGATGACGTCATCGCATTGTTGGTGGGGACGATTAGCAAAATTTTAGTTAGCGTTTAAACATCTATATTATATTCCTAATACACATACAAAATCTGAGAACAATCGGTCTAGTAGTTTCGGAAATTAGTTGTCTAATAAAAACGGATACAGACACCAAACAGACAGACAGACGGACAGGCAGACAGACGGACGGAAGCGGGAGACCAATTTTTTCGTATTTTAGAGGTCACGACACGTCGAGAAAACATGAAAGTGGTAATTTGGCCGATGGACTCAATTACTATACTTCCTTATAAAAATAAAAAGTAAATTGATCTAGAAATTCCTTCGCCCCTGAAGTACTGGCGAACAAATACAGATTCTTCGAAAAATTATACATGCGCGTTCATTCCTATCAGCTGTTTGTGTTTATTTTCAATTCGAAACCCGCTTCCTTTTGAATTTGGCGAGTATTTTGATTGGCTACTTATTACGATTCTAATTTCGTAAGCGCTATGTTGTAAACAACCCACAAGGAGGTCCAAGTTTGTAAGTATAATTTGTAGGTATCACTATAAGTATAAGTATAATTATAAGTGAATGTAAACGAGGGGTTACACATGTAGTTTACGAATCCGTATTGAGTTTTTACCCAAAACGTCCAGATTTTTGGAAAAAAATCAAAATTATAAAACATTTTGCAATTTAATTTTGAACCTGCAAAACCGAAAGCTTTGAAATCTTGCAGATGGTTTACAGTTATCATAAGCATGATAAATTTTTAATCAAAATATATTTACTTATACCTTCCAAAAAATTCATGACGTCAGCTCAAAAGTTTGCCGAATAAATCCTATCTAAAATGTACAAAATATGATGTACTTGTGATTCATTCCGTTCATATTTTTTAATTAATGAATGAGTCAATTTATTTTACTGACTCCATTTCCCCGGAAAATTGTGGGAATACAACACTGTTATTTTAAGTACTACACTGCACCAATCCAAGTTGATGTATGTGTCCTTGCAAAAATGTTGATGGCGTCATCACAAAATTGTATAAAGAAAAAACTCAACTCGAAAATGCTGGATTTGCTTCATTGTACTTCAGAAGCAAGGGAAGTTCTGTCGAAACAACTTTCGACCAATTTTTTTGGATAAATTTTGTCTCACAAATTACCATGTTTACGATAACCTTAAAGCGTTTGCAAGATTTCAGAGCAATTTCAACGTTAAATTGCAAAATATTGTTATAAAATTTTGATTTTTTTTTTCAAAAAATCTGGAAAAAAGTGTAAAAGTTCACACGGATTCATAAACCGCAAGTGCAGGAGTAAATGTAAATTTTGAAGTTGACGTCAGGCTATTGTTTGGGGATGATTAACCAAATTTTGGTTAGCGTTTTACCCTCTACCTCGATAATCCTAATAAGTATACATACATCATTTACAGAATCAGTCCAATAGTTTCACATATTATCAGTTATAATATAACAAGTGATATGATTATTATCGATAATATTTCGAGTGAAACCGAGCTGCAGATTCAACGAGTGCGAAGCACGAGTTGAATGTGCTGCTTCGGTTTCACGAGCCATATCTTCGATTATTAATCATATCACGAGTTATATTCAACATGAGAATATAATAAATGAACACATTTTTTGATAACAGAATTGATTTTGTCGTTTTGAGCTTGCCCCCAACGTTGGCAAGCCATAAAAGACAAAAAAATTTACGAAATTTTAACATTTGTCAATTTGACAGTTTTTAAATTTAGGTAGCAACAGACCACAATAAGGCAATAAAATTATTATCGCTGTGATAGACATGTAACTAAGGGCATGAACAAATTCTATTGGAAGAAATGGGGTCATGTGATTCATGAATTATATTCTCAATTATAATATAACAAGTGATATGATTATTATCGATAATATTTCGAGTGAAACCGAGCTGCAGATTTAACGAGTGCGAAGCACGAGTTGAATGTGCTGCTTCGGTTTCACGAGCCATATCTTCGATTATTAATCACATCACGAGTTATATTCAACATGAGAATATAATAAATGAACACATTTTTTGATAATAAAATTGATTTCGTCATTTTGAGCTTGCCCCCAACGTTGGCAAGCCATAAAAGACGAAAAAATTTATGAAATTCTAAAATTTGTCAATTTGACAGTTTTTAAATTTAGGTAGCAACAGACCACAATAAGGCAATAATAGTACATTATGGAACTAGTGGATGAAGTTGAATTTCAACGGCGAGAGTGATTTTTTCACACGAGCGAGTGCAACGAGCGAGTGCGAAAAAGAAACTCGAGCCGTTGAAATTTCTTCATCCGCGAGTTGCATATACTATTTTTTCTAAGAAATTAGGAAATAAATGTTTGTTTATGGTAGGTATTTTATTTTTGAAATACATTAACTGTAATAGAACAATTTGTGCAATTATCACCAATAATATTTACACTTTTATCGTAAGTATTATTTGAACTTGTATCTTTGTTTAAACTTAGTTGGCTGCTTCCTGTATCAATAACTGCACTTGTTGAAGTTGATGGTTTATCTATAAACAACCTGTTTGCAATATCTTTTCTTGCAGATAACGATTCGTCGATGTATCCTTCAGCTACGGTGGATGATTTCCACCCACCGTGTCTTTTTAACATCATAATATCGCCGCCTGCATTCACTAATAAAGTCGCAGAAGTTCTGCGGAATGCATGGCCCGTGTACTCTTGAGGGTTTCTTAATTTCAAATATGTGGCTATAGTTTTTGGCATTGCGCTAATTTTATTTATTCCAACAAATTGTTTTGTACACTTCCCTGATTGATAATTGCAAAATAATCTTGAACTCTCTAAAGCGGGAGGACGGAGTGCAAAATACTTCCTGCACAGATCAACATATTCAGCAGGAATAACAAATTTTCTCGAAGTTTTGTTTTTAGTATTTGGAAGTGTTATGATTATGTTTTCACCGTTTTCCATGTTATTTAATTTCAATCCATAAAGTTCATCGCAGCGGCAAGCACCCGAAATACCAATTACTAGTACCACCTATAACAAATTAGAAATTATTACTTATGTAGATCCACAATGTTTGAATTACTTTTGTCAATAAATAAACATGGTCCGGTGCTTCATTTATAAATTTTATGATTTGTTCTTTGGAGAAAGTGTTGGATTTTTTCGGGTGATACCCATCGGATTTTCTTTTCAGAAATGCTCGTAGGTTTAAATATTTCGAAATATCTATGTTGTTTTTATTTACAAGCATCGCCCTTAACATCGAATATTGTGCCCACAGTGTGGACGGTTTCTTGTCTTTAGCTAACTCCCCAAAATATGCACCAAAAACGTCTTCATTAAATGAACGGCATTGTTTTCTCTCTCTCCACTTCATAAATTTTCGGTATGTTAGCTCATAAAACTTTTTAGACTTTTCGGGTATCAGATTCGAAAATGCCGCATTGGCAGCATTCAAAATTTCTTCAGAAACTTCGTCAGTCTCACTCATGTTCATTGTTTTCACTTGTGTAAACTAGCAGTATTAAACGTCAAACACTAACGGGTCGTCCAGCCTAGGCGTCATGATTTTCGAAGCGCGCGAAGCGGACGGTGCGGTCGGTGCAGGCGATACGCGACACGTTTCGCTAGCTGCGAAACGCTCAGGCTGGACGACCCGTTAAAATCGTAGACGGCCGAGTATTTTTCCACTAGAGGGTGAAATGAAATTTCATCCACTGCCAGCGATGGGAAAATGACAAACTTCAACCTTAATGAGTAGAAAAAATTATTATCGCTGTGATAGACATGTAACTAAGGGCATGAACAAATCCTATTGGAAGAAATGGGGTCATGTGATACATGAATTATATTCTCTGTCTAATAAAAATCCCGACAGACGGCAGACAGACAAGCAAATGAAAACTGAAGATCTATGAATTCGTATAACAACCGTAAACACTTGATGCGATCCAAACGCGTAAGATTCGGTTGAAATTATTTGGATAATGTTGCTATTGTTGTTAATTAATTTTTGTTAAACTTTATAGGAATAAAGTTTAACAAAAATTAAAGTAGGAACTTAAGAAAAACAAAATAATGTGCTCACCATGGATGAGTGAATATTTCGTTGACTCTTCAGGATTTTCGTACTCGGCTACTTCGTAGACTCGTAACGCAAAACGTCCCCACTGGTCAACATAAACCCCACCAAATAATACGTTTAAAATGCTGTTTATGTAAAAGACTTAAAACTAACTTCCGTTTAAAATTTTTAATCGTCGAACCACCTACTTAGCAACTATGTAGCAACGAATAACACTGCATTGTTTAAACGATCTGTGATAAGTGTGATGGATTCTGTGTACTAATACCTTCGATCTTCGACATATTGCAACAATTCCCACTACAAGGCTTTGATTTGATGAATACATGCCATTATTGCTTATACACCTTATGCACTGTGTCACTCAATAATAATTAATACCTCCTGTTCTTATGTAAGGAAACCTACAAGATTGTAATAGGTACGTTCTTGTACAATGTTCAAAGCGTATTTGATCAAAATTTCAGGATAAACTAGGTTGTAGTTTTTAAATGTAAATGTAAAATACACGTAGTCGGAGGCACCTTAAATAAACTGCTTACCTAGAAAATTGTTATTTTCCATTTTCCTTTGGTAAGTATTCAGGAGCACGGACTTGGCAGTTGTCATTTAAGAATCTGATTAGTAATAGTAATTATGGAATTCTTCCAACACCAAGTACAAACACAGTCACAAACTTGTCAATTCTAACACATGCGCCTTGTAATTTAATTTGCAACTTTTAGTTGGCGATCGGGGATCGTTTGTAGGAACAAACTAATTATTATTATTAATGCTAGATTATAACTCCAAAATGTATAACCGGACTGGGGAGTAGAAACTCGAAGAAACCAAATGTGCTAGTATGTCTGTAGTGAAAAAAGTTAATTTAATTTCAAAAATAATTGCATGTTGAAAGTTAACAAATGAATTACTATTACTGAATTAATTACTTAATATTAAATCCATCGTATGCGCTAAAAATTATGTCTTATATAATATATTACATGACAATTATTTGGTTTGAAATTTATTAAGAGTAAATATACCAGATTACCCTTAAGTAGTAGGTAGGAGTAATACACAATCATGAGGACATCAATTAGAGTGAAGAGTAAACACTGTAAATGTTTGCTATCCGGTTGTTACTGCCAACGACCATGTATCACACAATAGCGAATCAAATAACTCAAGAGCCATGTGTGTAAATTCCTGTTTGCCTGTTTCATTTTACTACAGCTGAAAATTGTTTCAACCTGCTGGTAAATAGTCTCCATATCACACAATTTTTATGTGTACTACAAATTTTTATTAAATATTTTACCCTTTTCCTTCACTGTTTAAAAACATTATTAGAATTCAGTATTTAAGGGTGCTTTGTGTAGTCATTAAAAGATGCTAAAATAAGACAAAATGTCAACCGATTTTGCCCCTTTGTTTTAACAGTTGCTGAACAATGCAGTTCTTATGCATACATATGGAGGGTTGCTAAAAAGTATGGATACAGCTAAATAGTGCCAGAACGGTTTATCAGAACTCATTGAAATTTTGTATATAGGTAGAAGTACTTAAACTCTATCCTCTGAAATATTATTGAAATTACCATCAATATTTGTTTATTTTTTTTTAATGACACGAAGGGTCAATTTTTGAAAAAAAGCATTTTTTTCTGCATTCAGTGTCGTAACACATGCCTTTCTTTATTTGAACTAAAAAAAAAAAAATAAAAAAAAAACGTTAAAATAGGTATTACAATTTGAAAAATGTGGAATTTATTTGGCGTAGGAAATGTCTTTATTTGCCACCTATGCATTGAAAGAAAAATTAAATAAAAGTTAATAATAATTGTAAAAGTATGTAATACAAAGAAATAAATTTAATGTGTTACACTACCGAATACAGAAATAGTTATTTATGAACGAAGGACGAAAAACTGTCTGTTATAGTCGAGCCTGCAAATTGATAGCCGAGGCGCAGCCGAGGCTAGCAAGCAGGCGAGACATAGACAGTTTTTCGTCTAGGTGTATATTACATTTTTTCGTCGACCTTTATGAAAGTAAGCAGTCACCTCGTAAATAATTAATTTTAACAGCAAATGACAGTCTATGCTATGTTTTCATTAAATCGTGGATTTACGAAAATGATCCAATTGCCGCTCTCGCAACTTGCCGTATCATAGTTACCACAGTGAACGAAAAGTGTTTGCGGACGAAAAGTGTTTGCAGACGAAAAGTACTTGCCTTCAAAAATAGTCGATTTTTCGTTCGGGAATTAGTATGTAAAATGCCATTTTTTGTAGAGGTCGACAAAAAGATGCTTTTTTAAATAATATTAAATTTGACTCCTCGGACTATTAAAAAAAAATCAAGTTGGCCTTATATCTCCAAAATAAATGTTGATGGAAATTTGAATAATATTTCAGACGATAGAATTCAAATAATTCTATTTGAGTACTAAATTTCAATGAGTTCTGATGGACTGATTTGAAAATATTTAGCTGTATCCATATTTTTTAGCAACCCTGTATATGCGTTCGTGACATAAAAACGTTTTGCGCCGCCATAGTTGTAAGTGACATTTTATGTTAACATTTGGCGTGCCACAATGGCAATGAAAAAAGCCTTAGTGCTACAAAATAACGGGTGTTCAATTGAAAAATCAGTTAGAGAAGGCGTTGGAGACAAACGGCGTGTTTATTCTTACAAGATCCATTTGGCAGAAACATAACCTGTTATATGCTTGGAGTGATTATGGATTCAAAAACACAAACATTCTGAGCAACATCGTTAATGAGGATACGTTGTGGGCCCGTAGGAATGATGCATGCTTAATTTTCGTTCAAAAACTTATATCTGAGCGTATACATTGTTAAGCGCTTTTGGAAGAAATAAGTTTTGTATGTCCGAGAGCAAGTAGTCGATCACCTATAGCATTTTACTATGAAGTCCCACAGACGTATCATCATCTTAATAGCCCACTTTTAACTGCATTAAGACTATATAATTGTAGTTGTACTGGAATGACCTTTGACATATTTCGCGACAATTTATGTGTATCTAGTAATAGGATTAATTTATTAAAAAGGTATCAGGCGCTATAGATTGTATATCACCATTATTGAGATTGCTCTACTTTGTTTCATGTTTGTTTGTATACATATGTAATTTTTCAGTTTATTAGTTATTAATTTTTTATTTATATTTTAATTTTCTAATGATGTTAATTATAACATAAGGTTTGGTGTTCCATTATAGACTATTAGTCTGTTGGAAATCATACTATTATTAATATTATTATTATTAAAAAGCTAAGTCACTTCCTAGAAAATTAGGTTTTCACGAAGCCAGCCTTGGAGTTTAGAAAGTGGTGTCCTTTATTGTTAGTTATCAAAATCAGCATAAAATCGTAACCTCCCAACACAAATTTGAGTCACTTTGAATCGTATGATACTTTTTTATTTATTCTTAATTACTTTGTTATCTATTATTTGCGATGTAATACAGAATATTTTACCTTATTTAAAAAAGAAAAAACATGCGGTCAACTTACCAAGATTTTACAGGCTACTTTAGTTGATGATAATAGCAAGATCAGTTTTGTCTGGACTAGAAAAGACAGATTTATCAAAAAGAAAACTAAATTTAGAGAATAAACCTCAAAGCAGAAAAACATTAAAAATGTAATAAATGGATTCCTTCCTTGTTCTTGTCAGTTTTATTCTGTTTTTATCCAGTCTCTCTCCTTTGTGAATATTGTGATAATAATTATTCCACATACTAAAGTACTAAAGGTCTAAAATTTAACAAAACGTATGACAGTGAGTTAGTGACTTAAAAAAGTTTACGTTTATCCCCGATCGATAATAATCGTAATCAACAAAAATTGTTGAAGGTGACGCCACTTTCTAAACTTTTGTCAGAAACTTTCAAAAGCTCAGTGACTTGGCCTTACGACGCGCCAAGCGTGAGTTGGCGTTGGTTTAGGAATATTGATATGCAATGAATTAAATATGTATATCAAGTAATCTGTCTAAAGTTAACACTTCAATTGTGGAATAAGCCGTTCTTGATTTTATCAATAAAATAAATTGACTCATTAATTTTTTTTGAGTTATCCTGTGTAAGCAATTCTAAAAAATATGAATGTAACTGTAAGAACAAGAGTTCCCACAAAATCAGGTGTTCTACCTGAGCGCATTCATAATAATTGTAAAAATGTAAATACTTCGTATCTTTCGTCTATCTGCCCTACGCTCCTACATACTTTCTCTTCTCGCTTCTAGAATTTTCTAAACTCCTTCTTTACCTACTTCCACCTCTTCGAAACCGAGCCTACCTGTGTACCATTTTAAAACACCCTTCCTTCTTCTCCCTGGCACTCTCGAACAGTAAAGAACAAAATAAAATCTGAAAACCGTACCGTCGCTTTTAAATCACCAACAATACCCACATAACGATAAATCACAAGACTCATCATATTTTGTATATTTTAGATAGTATTTATTTTATTTGGCAAGATTTTAAGATGACATTAGGAATCAGTTTTTAGGGGTTCGTAAACGAATAAATTTTGAATAACGATTTACCATGTTTCCGATGAATTTACGAGTAAAACGTTTGCATGGTTCCAGATTATTCGATTTT